TATATATATATATATATAAACGAACTGAGATAAATGAACATGAGTGATCGAACATTCATGAACGAAAACAAAAAGAACAAGACTATTAATCATGTCGGTTTATTTAACTAAAACGAGCAAAAATGTGTGTTCATATTTATTTATTTATCAAATAAATAAAATAAACAAACTTGTTGTCAAACGGCTTACGAAGAATTTAATTCGCTAAACGTTTGATTCGTTTTGCGATACATTAAAATTAAGCCATTTAAATCAACCATAAGTTTTATGAATTTTCTTTTGTATAGGCACGTGACAGTCCCCACTGATACATGTGTAAAACCCATCATTTTGATTGTCAATGTCATATACAAAAAGGATGGTCATAAGTTCAAATCTAGTTTCTCAATACTCCTTCTCATTTTTATCAAATACTTGATTGTGCCACTCTTATCCCAATATACGCTTCTTCTGATTATGTCACCCTTATCCCAATATACACATATCATGATTATGTTACCCTTATTTCAATCAATTGGTAATAACATAACAAAACTCAAATTTATGCTAATACATAGCACGTAACAGTTTCGAAACCATCCATTTGTGAAACCATATGGTTCCTCGTTAAAAGCAAATAAAATGATACTTTTAATTAAAAAAAAGCCTCACCTTGTAAGACAAATAGATGAAGGCTTTAAACAACAACAAATAATCAGTTAAGATCACGTAATAAGTTCTTCTCTTTCTCTTCTGTTTCTTCGAACCAAAGACCAAAAACGGCTTAACCAACTTTTGTTTCTTCTTATCCCGACAAAACCCATGAAGGAAGCAAAACATCTCAACGTATACATATATAATTTTACGAAAGAGGCGGTAGGTTTTTAAAATTTTAATCCATTTATCAAAATTTCACCCCTCAACTTGAGGCCATAATTCAAAATCCACCCAAACTTTCAAATCCTTATATACTCGGTTATCACATTATATAAATTTTTAATTTGATGAGTTGAAAATGATATGATAAGAAATGTAAGAGATGGGTTCTTATAAAGACCTACATTGAAGATGCTTTAAATTTATGGAGTGTGTGTGTGTATATATATATATATATATAATTGGGATCATGTGAGACCAAGGGATTTTCGTGAGACCTGTAAGACCAATTCCCAACATTTGGATTAGATCTACAATCTGAACATTCATAATCACAAATTTGCCACCGTGCAACTTTAGATCATTAGCTTATAAAGTTGATCAATAAACACAAATTGGTCTTACAGGTCACGAAAAACCTTTGGTCTCACGTGAACTCAACCCCCCCTCTCTCCCTCTCTCTCTCTCTCTCTCTCTCTATATATATATATATATATATAGGGGAGCGTTCAAATAAAAACCACTCAATTTGTAAAAACCGTGAAAACCTCATTCAACCGATCATAATTTTTCATTTTGTTCATTTTTTTGTAATTATGAGAGGTTGATTAACCATTTTTGTTGTGGAGGGTGTTAACCATGGATATTATTTTCTTCATTATTTTAATTTTAGAGAAATACATGAAACAGTTTCTTTAAAATTTCATTAAATATTATATGAAACAAATTCATCAAAAAAAGTATTATATGAAAAAAATATATGAAAAAATTTCATAAGATTAAACAATGAAATCGACGGATGAAGGTGGTTTGCACGGTTTACACAAATGAGGGCGGTTTTTATTTGATCACTCCTCTATATATATATATATATATGAGCGATCAAATGAAAACCATCTTCATTTGTAAAAACTGTACAAACCACCCTCATACATCGATTTTATTGTTTAATCTTATGAAATTTTTTCATGAAATTGTTTAATCTTGTGAAATTGTTTCATATAATACTTTTTTTGATCAAGTTGTTTCATATATGGTTGTGAAATTGTTTCATATAATACTTAATGAAACTGTTTCATATATTTCTCTAAAATTAATGAAACTGTTTCATGTATTTCTCTAAAAATTAAAATAATGAAGATGATAATATCTATGATTAACATCCTCCACAATAAAAATGATTAATCAACCTCTCATAATTACAAAAAAATGAACAAAATGAAAAATTATGATTGGTTGAATGAGGTTTGCACGGTTTGTACAAATTGAGTGGTTTGCATTTGATTGCTCCCCTATATATATATATAAGGCCTACTTTACAAATCACATTATTTGTACAAAACGTGCAAACTTCATTCAACTAACATAATTTTTTTTGTAATTATGAGAGGTAGTTGTGTAGGGTGTTTAATTATGAATATTATCATCTTCATTATATTAAATTCAGATAAATATATAAAAAGTTTCATTAAAACATAGAAACAACCATATATGAAACAATCTCATCAAGAAAAATATCATAAGAAACAATTTTATTAAATTAAACAATTTAATGAAACAATTTCATTAAATTAAACAATGAAATCAATAGATGATTGTGGTTTGCACAGTTTGTACAAATATGAGTCGTACGCGCGCACGCGCGCACACACACACACACACACACACACACACACACACACACACACACACACACACACACACATATATATATATATATAACATGATATATTTTTCAAGATAAATTACTTTGCTAATAAAAGAAATGTAACATTTACTATTTTCCTTATTCAAATTCTTCTTTTTATTTTTTACAGTTTCCTCTAAAATGTCAGCAAAATTGATCGTATTTGACAAGTTTTTTAATATTGTTATACTAATAAAACTGTATATACACAATAATTAGTTATAAACTTGAAATTTTAAAAGGTTATGCACCATATATAATGCTTTATATACCACTTCTAACAATTTTCACTAAATGTTTTTATAACATGGTAAAAATTTGTTCATATTACATAAATATCATAAAAAAATGAAATTAAATTCATTACATTTTTTAAATGTATACTTTTTTTATTAATCTGGATATCCAACCCGCTATGCGAGCCGACTAATTCCAGGGCGATCACTTGCTTTGCAGATAGCTCGGAGTCACCGCATTTGAACCTCCGTGGCCACAAAGGAATTTTTATTCATCGAATTTGAACCTGGGACCCCCTGGTACTTTTGACCTTTGGAGTCAAACCCAAACCAATCAAACACCACCTTTGTGGTTAAATTCATTGCATTTTTTTTGTTCCCATGGTTTGTGAAAAATAACACTTTTCGTCTTTACACTTTTAAAATTACAAGAAGACCATCGTGATTTTGAAAAATGTTTGTATGTGGTCCCTCATTCTAATGGTCGTTAAAAATTCCGTTAATGAGAAACATTTTTGTACTTTTATCGATTTTTTGCCTTTTAACCAGTCAAAACCCGTAAGACCAAAATCATAAAATCGATTTTGATTGGTAAAAGGCAAAAAATTGAAAAAAAAAGAAGACGAAAATACTCCTCATTTAAAGGAATTCTTTAACAACTGTTAGAAGGAAGAATCAAATTCGAACGTTTTTTTTATTAACTTGGATATCCAACCCGCTATGCGAGCCGACTAATCCCAGAGTGACCACTTGCTTTGCAGATAGCCCAGAGTCACCGCATTTGAACCTCCGTGGCTACAAGGGGATTTCTATTCCTCATTGGATTTGAAACTGAGACCTCCTGGTACTTTTGGCCTTTGGAGCCAAGTTCAAACCAATCAGACACCACCTTTGTGGTTAAAAAGGAATAATTCGAACGTTTTTACAAACCATAATGGTTATCTTGTAATTTCAAAACTACATAAATAAAAAATATTATCTCTAAATTACATCACAAATATGTTTTAATCATATTGATTGCAACAAATAATTTGAAACCCACTTGGAATTAAATGATTAATAGAAACCAAAATCAAAATTGGAATGAAGTTAAAAGTGGTTGGGTGTGAAAATCCCATCCAAAGAGGTGTGGGGTTCAATCTTTATTCATTTATGCAAAACCATAGACAAGAAAAATGCCCACCTCATTATCACACCACCATTATAATATGTCAACAAAATTAGCCACTTATCTACTAAATAATTCATATAAACACTTAACCACAACGGTAGTGTTTGATTGGTTTGAGTTTGACTCTAAATGTCAAAAGTACCAGGAGGTCCCAGGTTCAAATCCAATGAGGGATAAAAATCTCCTTGTGGTCACGGAGGTTCAAATGCAGTGACTCCGGGCTATCTATAAAGTAGGTGGTTGTTCTGGGATTAGTCGGCTCGCATAGCGGGTTGGATATCCAGGTTAATTAAAAAAAATTCATATAAACACTTAATTTTTTTGAAGAATTTATTAAATAAGAATTGACTAAACGACGAAAAAGAACGAAGCCTTGCAAACGGCAACACGAAAGAACAAAAACAACTTACACAAACCATCCTCTTCAGTGACTTTCGACTAGAACGGAGTCAGTGGCAACGAGCCAAACAGAAACCACATCGACTGAACATGGTAGAAAGAGCCAACCTGAACTCACGAAAACAAACCTGCACCAAAGTCAACGATGGTTTCGGAATGAGACCTAAGGAAGAGCATGAAGTAGAAGTTTTGTATATTGATTCTCGAAACGAAATGAACTCAATATTGGTTTCAATTTATTAGGAGATAAATTTATTAAATATTTTAATTGGATGATGTATTTTTTTAAGATTTTAAATTTAAATACTTTATCTTTAACATAACATACTGTCGGAGGTTGTTTGGTTGGTTATCCATTAAATTCTCTATGGATAAAGATATCTACGTGGATTAATTTGTCTGTATAGATTGGTTAGATTTTTGGTTGGAAGAATTTTTTGTGGATAAAATGAGTGTTTTTTTAACTAAAAAGGGGCATGTTAAAAAAAACTTGATTTTCTGCATAAAAATCGCCCTAAAAGCTTACCGAATAAGCAACTTTCTATATTATTAAGCCACTACCAAACAATTATGTATAGTTAACCGAATAAGTTGAGTCTCATTAAGCTGCTAACAAACATACCCTTATTTCATATCACAAGATCCACCTATTGTATAGTACAAGATATATTAAATCTATTTATACTACAAGATATACAAGTACTCGATTAATACAAGGCAGGTCTCGGGTTCAATTTCGGACCCCCTCCCCTGGGAGCGGCGCTAGCCTTAGCCATTGAATGAGGCAAAAAATACCCGCCTCACTTTGATGTCCTTGAAGACAGATTCCATGTAGAATCGGTTGAAGTTGCTGATAATCAATTTTTTTGTCAAATACTTGTTAGACTTTGTGTCAGGTAAAACATGCACTTATTATGTAGTGAAAATGCCAAATAAATACTCTCTCTGAATAACGTCACACCCACTAACCGAAAGGCGAAAAATTTATGTAGTTCATATACACAAGCGCTTCAATAGAGATAGAAAACTAACTAATAATGACGGGGAGCCATCTTTCTATGAAGTCGTGACATGGCACGATAAAGATGGTAGACGCCACACTCTGGAGCGCCTCCACTGTACCAGTCCCACGGCCATTGACAGAGGACACAGGCTCGAACCCGCTGGACCTAAATCAATATGGATTACACCCACACCTCTACTGGTATGCAGAAATACCAGATGAAGCCCTATGCAGGAGTAGTAGTACTACATTTAGCAAAACAAACAAAAGCACTTTGAAACCTTGGATCATCATTGAAAATGTGTCATGTCTTAGAGAAAAACATGACCATTGTTTGCAGCTGTGATTTGACTTTGATTCTCAGCATTTTTTTTATAACATTACAAAAGAAACCTAGTTCTACAAACGACATGTTCTGAAAATCTCACCCCGCATCATGTCTATTGGGGCATGGTCGACAGTGTAACGCTCTGGGCCTTGATACATACCCGTTTTTTCTAGAATTGCAAGTCCTTCGTCCCTACCATATCTCGAGCTGAAGAGCTTCAGGTACTCAATGTCCTATCAAACACCAATAACATATGCAAATGGTCAATTTTCATAATTATACTAGCCGAATTAATTGAATACTTAGGCTCGCCCAAGCATGGCATGAACCACTTTAGAAACCAAATGAGCCCAATGAATCCCACACGGAGTAAGGTCTAAAGAGGGTTGGACGTGCGTAGTGAAGCTCTTTCCATGAAGACCGCCATCTTGTAAAAAGGTTTTGAGTAAAAGGATTTTGCGAAAGAAAATTGGTTCTGAAGTTTGACGGAAGTTTGACAGAAAAGAGATGAAAGATAATAATTTCTCAGTGAAATAATAGAACATTTGAAGAATTAGGATAACTTCTTATAAGTTTGTTAAGACGTGTCGCAAACAACCTCGCGTGTTAGATATTTTTCAAACATAAATAATTAAATATAGCATCATCATGCACGCTTCTTGCACATTTTCACGGTCTATGTTGCAAAAGTGATCGTTTAGGTTTAAAAGCATGAGACTGGAAGGAGAGAATATGCTAACCTGCAAGCCACTCAAAAGCCGCTCTAGCCTAAGAGAAGCCACGGGTTCATGTGAGGATGAGAAAACTTCACCAGGATAAAACAATACTCCATCACCTGGGGGAAGCCCACGCCTGAATTTGATCTGTCCATATACACCCGAAATTTACAACGGAAGGAAAAATGGAAAGTAAAGATAGGTGAGAGATGACGTGGCATCATACCTCTGCACTGGCAACGGTGGCCTTCTCGTAGCAATTGGCACCCCAATATAGAAAGCCAGTTCCACCTTCTTTCCATACGCGCCACATGACTGCACGATGCTGTGTACCCCGCATACCCAGGTGCCAGTTAGGATGAGGATCAGATGGTCCCATGCACACATATGTCCACCATTCCTGTTAATATGACCCATGAAGTCATTCGCATGCTGCTAGTCTGCTACAAGCGAATAATCAAGAATGCACTCTTTTTCTAGTGTTTTTCTCATATGCCTTATGCTCCCCAATATCTTTACAAAATCCTCGCAACCTTAAAAGAAAACTTTTTGACCATCTAGTCTCAACTTTTGAGCAAGCAGAGGGATATTCACAGAAACAGCGTTCTCTACCCTTGCTAGTTTGGCTAGCCACAGTATTTTCTTATCGATATTATCACCTAATTGAGTTCATGGTGTCCTTTCATGTGTTGAAGCATGGTAAAATGGCAAAATCAATTTGGATTGCCCCACCCCCCATCCAGCTTATCTTAAGAATTAATCCACTCATATAACACATCTCTGACAGACCATCAATCAACACTTGCACGATAAAGTTGTAGAATTTTTAGCCACAATATGTTGAGAAATATGTGTGTGCGTAACTGTGTATACAGGTGATGATAAACATCAAACAGTATGTATCTCAAGCTGTTGGGGGAAAATGCATAAAGAGATACCTCATCATTGTCTGTCTTTATCTCTGCAATGATATCCTTCACCAGGTCCTCCCGGTTACCAATCACCCATTCGCTGCAAATGAAAAAATACCCATTAAACCTTGTTTTGGGTATGCTAATGAATACCAAGCAGGAGAAGAAAAAGAAATTAACTCAGGTGTCTATTGCTGTTTATAAGTTGATGGCTAATCACAGTGTTATTACCTTGTACAGTATATTTGTGTATGAGGGCGTAGGAACCCTGGTACTTTCAGAAAAGCCTCAAAATTATTTGGAGCAAGAGGTGCATCACTTGGACCTGAATAAAGCTAGAAAGTAGTCTCAGATCATCTCTAGCATCAGGGTGGGGCAGTCATTCACCAGAAAAGGATAATGATGTTATGATGTTTGCAGGTAAAAATATCCACCAAATAACCAGAGGCATAAGAAATATTAAATTTTACCAAAGCACAATTCTACTGTCAAACACAATGTAGATCACTAAAAACTTGATTTGTTGTCAGGAAAATTCATACATCCACAAATCAACATTCGAGTTCAATTTTTATCCTAAGATACGGGGTTTATATTACTTTCACAACTAGGATAGCTTGAAGCTTGAGAAATGTAAAAAGGAGACCAAGTAAGGGGACAAATGTTGCTCAAAGAAGCATGGGACAAGAAAAGTCATCATGTGAATCCAATAACCTCTAACTTCTATCCATTTCAAGATTAATAAACATATATCAATACATCATTGTGTTTCTATTGGGCTACCTACATGCCTTGTTCTTCTATAAGCAACACAAATGGATTTTTCCTAAAATTCTAGTTAACAGTATACCAAAGTGCATGATAAACATTCAATAATTTACTGAACTGATATCTACCATAAATACTTCACCGACATGATCACTGTCACTGCAAATATGGTTTTCAAACTAAATGTGGTATGATTATGGCTAAAAGATGAAGCACAACACAGCAGGTAGAAATCTTTGTTTTCTGTTGAGTGAGTGGTAATAGAAAAGACTTGTAAGCTTTTTCATAAAATTAACGAATAAAAACATTCTTCCAGTTAAAGAAATAGCATATCATGCAAAGCTTCAGCTGATCAACATCTTTTAGTTTAATGCCTAAAATTTATTATTCAGAAAGTACCTCATGTATAAGGAATGTAAAAGAAAAAAAGAACTTGATTCTTCAACAAGCCTGATCAAAAGCAAGTCTAGTTATTCCCAAAGCAATTGTAGTACTACGAACTCCATGCCAAATTATATGGATATGGGGACATATTAAGATGATTCAAGCCAGGAACAATATGGCCAACTTTAGATGTCAATCTACATTACCGAAAAGTAGATCCTCATAGACCAAAGATTAGAACAAAAATACTGAAATTGATGCATGCATAATATATGTAGCAAACAAATAATTTGTATATTTAATATCAGTTCCCATTTATATTGGTAGGAATTTGTACAGTAAAAAAAGAGGGGATGGACTTGGCTTAATGAATAAAATAACCAGAAACTATAGTAGCTGGTCATCATAACTATATTTGATATGTTCAACAGGAACTGAACTAGAACCTAAACATCAAGGCAAAGTCAACTGTGACTTGAAGCAAGCATTCAAACTCCAATTAGAGATGCTCTTACCGGAGTAGTATGTAGTCAATACACGGGCATCAGGTGCATATGCATGAATCTCACTAGCTTGGTGGCGAATAGCATCATATTGTTGCACATTAAGCGGCTGCAAGAATGACATATGTTCCGTATTCAAACAAACCAATAAGATGGATATAACATAGATACAGGGGTCACATCAAAAGGACACAATAGCCGTCCATCTCCACAGTTGTCTTTTGTTGTGGCACTCCAAAGGTTTCTAAGCAGAAAACACTCAAAATAAACGTGTTTGGATAATTGCTTCAACTGTTGATACCTCATCCCACAAGTAAAAGTAGGCTTTCTTCCAATGACTTTTTGATCTCAAAACCTCAACTTCCTTCTGCAGGTAATCGTTTGCTAAATCACCACTGCAAAATCAAGGATGACAATGATACATGATCAAAATCATGATACACCAAACAGCACTTCAGGCATCTACGACATACCTAGGAACTACAGGACTATATGGCACAGCATAAGCTGCAAGACGAGGATCTGAGAAAAATTCATCTGATTTTGGATGATCAGCTACACAATAGAAAGAGCAAGAGTGATCAGTATCCTCACTACCGAATGATATTAACCAAAAGAAGCTGATTGCTTGAATGATTATACCAGGCCATGGAGAGGTGTAAGTCAAAACACGCATGCTGTTACCCCATTTGCAGAAGTAAGGACTGATTTTATATTGAAGTAGCCACTTAAAATGTTGTTCTAGAGCATCATACCATTCAGCACTCCCATGTTCAACACCAAAACGATCTTCAATTACAGTATCAGAAATCTTAAATGTCATTAAGGACCAAAGGACATAGACATTCACTTCAGAGGAAAGGAAAAGTACCACTACCCAGTGAATCCTATGGGTGCATGCACTCTAATCTGAATTGCAGTTGCAAAAGTATTGTAGAAAATTTAAAAGCATGTTACAAATATTAAATAACATCATGCCTACCTTGTGGTTTTAGAATCATGATTTATATCACATATTAGAATCTTGTATTAGCTAACTTTACTTAATCAAGTCGTTAAATGAGCTTCTAATTTCTCAAAAAAGTTGTGGACGTACCAAACTAATATATAGAAACATATATCCCAATAAGAAAGCCATACTTTTATGTTTATTACTTAAATAATAGGATCATGAGAGGTGGATAATTGACCCCAGGACTACATATAGAGCATCATGGTAATTGCACATCAACTTGGAGATAAGGACACTTTAGAGAACAATAGGAGTCCAGATATTTTGACAGTCTTGTCAAACTTCAGGAAGTCCAAGATACCAAAATTTAGTCATGAAATTGAAATGAATAATCTAGGATACACCAATGACGGCAGGAAGCGAAGGTGTTGTCGGAAGAACAAAGTCCCAGATGGTCAAACTTAGTTTCAAACGTATTGAAAGGTTTGCATCTTCATCCATCATATCTGCTGGCCCATTCTCTGAAAAGAAATCAGAAAAAGAAGGTGACAGCAGAACTCTTCTCAAAGTCGTAGTAGCAGATTTCACTCTTTCTACCTGACGTAAAAAAAGTAAGACTTCATGAACAGTTCATTACAATGGTGTTGACACAAAATGTTGCATAGAAATAGTTCCAATCTTACCACTTCTTCGACTGCTTTTCCATCAATTGGCTCAATGACATCAAGACAATCTCTGAGTTCCCTGTATACTTGATATTTCTCAGATTTACCCAGAAATTGTGCTGCACATCTGCAAAGAGTCAAACTGAATTAACATAGACGAACAAGGTATAATATTTAGGTCAGTAATTAGTATTAACAATCTAAATATAGTAAGTTTCACATAGACAGGTAAACAAGCCGATATTTGTAGGTTTGCATTCAACAACTAAGATTTAACTGAAAAAGAGGGTAGGCAATCACTCTGCATCTGCTTTGGTAGCAGTAACAATAAAGTCTCCATCATATTGTCCAGGGGGTTGTGTGCTTGGAACATCAATTGAAACCCAAATGGCAGAGGTTTCTCTGAAGGAAAGAACCATAATAGAAGAATTAGAATACATTTGACTAAAACTCTACATGAAAGAATATTCAATTCTTCCAACAGTGATGTAGTCAATACCCTGGAAGTAAGTTTATCTGCGAGACTGGCATATCAACTGGTACAAGTGCATCTGGAACACCCAAGATAGGGACCACGCGTCGCATTGTAACTGACTGACCTATGACCAACCTGGTTACAATCAATCTTAGTAATAATTTTTAATCTAAAAAAAAAAAATATATTATGACATGCATATCAAAATATATTAACCTGTCACCAGAAGTAGAACAGAGATCAGTACACTGAATCTGTACAACCCCAGCATTACTGGATCCACTCCAAGAAACTTTCGGGCGTATAGCAATTTGAATGCTTTCCCTCTCATTTCTTGCAGCTAAAAGAGATACCTTCAAGCAAATATTTTGAAGAATGAGAAACTGTGCAGAACTTCAGCATTAGCAAGACCTATATCGCGATTTCATTCTTTCTCTAATGGCGATCGAAGATCAAAAACAGATATTACTATCAATACTGAATGGAAGAAGTTAACATCCATCCTTAAAAGCACACATATATAACACACCAGGTTAATTGTTGCTTGTAGTACATATATTGTAGACTAGGTTATTAAGTAATACAAGGTGTATGTATAAGAACAAGTGAAACACAAAGAAAGTATAACAAATGGCCCTTTTCACTCTCAAGCCAGAGCACAATCAAACGTAGTGAGTGGTGCAACATACATTTACATGTGATAAGGAATCATCATATTTGCAATAACAGTTTATCATGCACTCATGATGATGGTTGTCACTTATCACTGATAATGTGATATACCAACAATCCTAATAGATAACTGAAAGAACTTGGCAATTATACAGATACATGAGGCAACACTTCAACAGATGCCATTAATCCATTAAGAAATTGGAAGAACAGCCGATGCTGACAAAGATAAAACAATTTCATATTCCAATGTTTCAAATAAGTATGGATCTATAAGCTCCATCAGCAGAAAAACAACCGTAGAAAGAACTGAAAAAACACATCAATACAGAAAATGCTTGAATCAGATATCTGAATTTGGTTGCACTTGGCTTGAAATGCTTCTCTTTTGTTATCACTGCCTGGTGCCTATTAATTTTCATACTGATGTTTTAAGAGAGAACCCAACTCAAAATCCTTTTAGCAATCATGTTGGTCTTCACTATTCAATAATCCAATGCTTCTAATATGCGTTATCTTTATATTAGCTTGCACCAATAACCCATCAAGAAACACCTACCATTAACCAAGCAAGAAAATAATCATCTGATAATGCTTGTATGAAACAAGAATAGGAATATGCACATGTTTTGCATGTAATTTACAATCCAAAGCTAACCTTGAAGAAAAAAAGTGTAAGCTCTTATGGTGCATACGCATTAACATATATGTATAAGTCTGCAGAAACCCAAGGATGACTTGAAAGCTACAAATGGAAACCGCAAAAACAAAGTTCCAAGGAAGTGCTTAGACACTTACAGGCTCCAATTGTCGAGGCATTTCTTGAGGTCCTACATTTGCAGTGCTTGGCATGCACCATACATGTACCAGTTCAGAAGATGGAACTCTAGTAGGATCAATTGTCCCTCTCAATTGACTTGGAGCTCGTAAGCTACCATCACCCCATCCATATGCTGTCCCACCCCCAGCAACGCCTTCAACTGGAGGAACCATGTCTTGGTGACTCTCTGTAGCATAGTATACAGAACAATACATCAAACAACTATAAGTGGAAAAGCATGCCATTGCAAAGAGTTTAAGGAAATCAAAAAGCCATGGAAGTAGATCAGAAAAAAATTCTTTTTGAGTATTAGTTCAGACTCACGCATATTACTGTAGCATTTAAGATCTCCTAGATGCAAGGCATGAAAACTTTCAGAAGATGTACATTTTCAAGGACCACGAATAGAACTATGCTTCGGAAAATGACTCTTCAAACAAAAGAGTTGGCCATGTATATGTGTGTATGCGGAAATAGGAAGGTAGAGCCTACTAGTAAGACAAAAGTTTATAAGACATGACGATTAATCAGTGAAATCAGATGCTTAGTGGTCAATAATAGATTGTGTATTCAATTGTAAGCCATTACATGCAAACCTTACAAACAACTATCCAATATAAATTAATGCACAAAAGCTAATTACAGATTATGTGTCATGATTGCTTAATTCTGAATCAAAAACTCAACTTCATCATTCACAATAATCTTGACCATGCTTGACTAAACTTCCTACTTGAGGGGAGCGATCTGAGTAAACTTTAGATTAACTAAAAAGGCAAGCAAGTTCAAGAAAATACACATGAGGTGACAAGTGGACAAAATAATTGGAACTTGATATACATGTATTTGGTATGTATTTGGTATGTATGTGGTTTTACTCTATTTGTAGACGAATCTAACCCTCAAATATCTTAAAGTTCGATTCTCCCCTCAGCGTAACATACAAACAGCAGCAGCAGCAACTCATCTATCTTAAAGGCCCAATTTGGAAACACCCTGTCCTGGGTATGCCATTAAATGATCTACAGATATAATGTAAAATTTGCACCTTGTATATAAAAATTGGGGCGAACCCCATAATCCCACTTCAATTCCAATAAAATTTCCAATGCACAAACAAGTAATCCATTGGCTCCTCGTATACAAGATGAAATTTTCTCAGTGAACTCCATCAACAAACTCAAATTTTAGTAGATTCATCTTCACAACGCTAACAAACTATCAACCTACAAATTCTAATCATCAAAGTACAACAACAATCCATCTACACGCCAGGGTGAACACTCAACCAAACCTCACGACACTGACAAAAAACACATGTCAAGTACAAAACCCTAAAAACCATATAAAAGCAATCGTAAAAGCTTCAGAGACAACGAGTTACAAGGAAGGCAGTCCATAATCCAACTTAAAGTGAACAAGAGTGAATCGGCAAGAAAGTAAAGCAGGTGAGTGAAATTGAAAATGGTTGGATAAAGGAAAGAGGAAACAAACCAGAGTTATTCATGTTTTGGTGTTGCAGATGAATGAGTGTGACTCCGGTGGGTTGGCGTCGCAAACGAGTGAAAGGGAATAATATTGCAGTCGGTGATGATGATCGCGTCTCGATTGCACAGAAAAAATGGCAGTACCTACTGTTTTTGTATTTCGAGTATTTACGTAATCTGATAAAATTATACCATTTGTTACTATTTTACAACATAACCTCGTGTTCACTCCTTTATTTGACATAACTAATGTTTTTTATAAAAGCATTTATCAATTTATTATAAGTTAGAAAGCTTTAACTTCTTCAAAAACTTCTTATTATTGATTTGTTGTCGGTATAAATTGTTTATCCAAACACTAAAAAATGTTTATTATCGGTGCCACATTGTAATAAGTCAATAAGTTGTTTTTATAAACAATTCCAAACACCCCCTTAGTTTTATTTAGAAACTCAATCATTAGTATAAACCATTTAAATCAACTTCAATCGTTCATTTATTATAATGAATATTTGGTTCAATATATATCGCGATTGTTTTTTAATATTAAACGTTGATCATAATAAATGAACTCTGATAATCTTTTATTGATATCCATGTCATCATAAATAAACTCAATAATTAGTTTGTATGATTTATATTAATTGTTGAGTTTGTAAATAAAACCATCTCTTATGATATATCTTCTTAAATGTATTAGAGTATCTACTAGAAGGGTACCCGCGCAATGAAATACATCTCAATTTTACTTTTTCGTTTTATTTTATTTTTGCCTCAGTCGATGTTATAATACATTTTTATGTGGTTTTGAGAAAGCGGTAATATTTTTATTTTTGAATAAAATATAAATATAAAGATATATCATAAAAAATTGAAAAAATATTATTAATATCAATACCAAACTAACTATTTAAAATTTCACTCCTTTTTTGTGGTTTTTTAATTCATTCTTTTACTTTTGATTTATTAATATAATTTTTTATAAATATAATAATTAAGTAGTTTGTTAGAATTCAATGAGTATCATAATTATATTTTAGATTTTTTATATTTAAAATGAGATATTTATCCTCTATTTGATTATGTTTATCTGCAGTTAATTACAGGAATTCAAACATGAAGCTTTAATAAGTTGTACTTACACAAAACTACTTGTAATCTTAAATTTTAAGTAATATACATCAATAAACAATACTTTATGCTTAAAAGATAGTTTTTAAAGAGTTTGTTTCAAATGTTTTATAATATAATATAAATAATACATGTATTTGGCAAATTAAGAACTAGCTCTTTGTACAACAACTTAACTTCATTATTATGTTTTTAATCATTTTATTATGTTTTATTTTAACAAATACATAAAACATAATTATAAAATAGAGTAAATTACACTTTTTGTCCTTATGGTTGTCATCCACCGTCAAGTTTCGTTCTCTTTTAAATTAATTACAGTTTTAATCACTGTGGCTGTCACTTTTTGTCCTAAGTTCTATTAAATAGATATGTTAACTCGAGGGGTATTTATGTCATTTTAACGTATCAGTTTTTGTAACTCCTTTTTGACTTTTTAGGTTTTTCGTTTGACTTTTTTTTTTGACGACTCATTAATGTACCCCTTACCCGACCTTCACCCCCACTTTTGTTCCTTTACCGTCAACCTAACCTTACCCATTCCCCTTAGGTCGTCTTCGGGAGCCCCCTCTGGTCTTCTTCTTAGGGCCGTCTCTAGGGAGAATGGCACGGGCGCACGTCCAGATTCAAAAATATCAGCGGTTCAAATTATTATCTTAAAATACAATAGTAGTCTAAAAGAATTTAATAAATTAAATAAACCCAAAAAATGGTAGCATATAATAATAGGTAAAAAGAATTTAGTAGATAATAAGGACCCTAAAATATATCAACTAGTTATATTGGAGAATAAAATATAAAAAAAATTAATTGGTCATTCATTATATGCTATTGTTTAGTGTCTCTCTAATTTTCTTATCTCCAACAAGGTCCAATGATTTTGGCTATTGCTATCTCTATATACTTGACTGTTTTCGTGTTTCAGCAATTCAATGTTAAGATCATGTGTTTGTTATTGCTATATATTTTTGTTGAATATTTTTATCAATTTCTGCTTCTATTGACTATTGCTATTTGGTTATCTTCTTCTAACTGTTTTTATTGACTATTGATATCTATTTTTGTTTCTACAAAATATTTTATTGTTGTTTGACAATCAATCTATTGTTTTTATAATTTATGACGTATTTTATAGTTTTGTAATTAATCAATAAATTTTTTCTACCAGATTTATTTAGTAATGTCCCTTATATATGTCATGTTCCATAAACTTTTAATCTTAACATCTTATTTTAGTAGAACAAAAAAAAAATAAGGAAAATAGAATTTAAAATTTTTCATCAATTATTTGACTTATTTATCTTTCATTGGGATTCCACCATACCACGAGATTCTATTTAAGTGTTCAAACAATCATTTGTTCAGCTTGCATATTATATGTTTAATTCATTATTTATCGGTATAAGTTGTTTATTCAAACACTCAAAAATACTTATTATCGATACCATACCGAAATAAGTCAATAAATTGTTTTTATAAATAATCTCAAACACCCCCTAAATGTTTTCTTCAGAAGCCCAAAGGTCTCTTTGTTTTGAAATTGCTGATTTTTTTGAAGATGGAGAACCCTATACACTATAGACGAGGATGACACACCTTTCCTTCAATTACGTTCTGCTGGTCACATGTGCAGACTGCAGCTGGTTCCTTCTTCCTACGTATACCCCTTTCTCCTGGAGCTTTCAGTATCTTTCAACTTCTCTCATTAGTTTCCCTTTTAGATTAACAGAAGTTGGGCATTTGAAATGTGAAAAATAGTCAAACTTTAACTTATATATTCGATGGCAAACTCATAAAAATGCTCAAGTTAGCACTGTTGTCTACCCACAGATGATGGTCTTCTTTCCATTTAGGGTGTAATTAACTTGTAACTTTGTTGGAGTTTATTTGTGCTACTTGTAAGTTTGTTTCACCATTAGAGTCCAGTTTAGGAAGGCGAAAAGGTTACAATATAATGGTCTTATTCAGTGTACTCCATCCAATGTTCTGTGAAGTTCACCTCTCATTCTCAAGATATATATATATATGCTTACTTTTTGGTTCTGATTAATCACATTTTTAACCCATATCCATCCAAATCAGCTGATGTTTATTTAACTAAATATGTACTGCACCACCCCCAAAGCTTAAGCAGCGTATTTGAAGCTGATTGTTGCATGCAGGTCGTAGATACTGGTGAAGGTTGGGTAACACTCTAAGTTCAGATCTCAATATGGTAGGGTTTCAGATTCAGTTATTATCTTTTTCTTTTTTTGTATTTGATGCATAAGGTGGTACGGACTTATCATGTGGTATAAAGTGATGTGGAGCTTATCCAATGCTTCAGAAACTTATTCATGGATAAAGAGTGTAACACTTGGATGGTTTGTAGGGAGCGAAAACCAGTTTTGAAGGATGCATAACACTTGGACCATGGGGTGGTTCAGAGGGGAAAACGTGGACTTATATGCCTAATGGCTTCATTAAAAAGATAACCATTGTACATGGATGGTTTATTTATTCCATCGAACTCCAAAGCGACTGCAGTACAGATGAAACTGAAAGCCAATCTTTTGGTAGAAAGGGTGGTGAAGCTGTTGCTGAAACTGATACGGTACCAGATATTATCTGAATATAGTTTGTGTATGTACATGTGCCTCTAATGAACTACATTTTGTAATTCTACAGATATGTCTCGACTACCCTAATGAATATTTAACGTCGATAAGTGGGACTTTTAGCAACACTAACAAATCGGGCTTCGTGACATCATTATGCTTTGTAACAAATCAGAACCATTATGGCCCTTATGGTGCGGATACCGGCACTCGGTTCTCATTTGATGGGAAAGGTGGTGTGATTGTTGGATTCCATGGCCGTGTGGACCCATACCAGCTTAATGCTGTTGGGATTTATATGATGCCTGAGTCACTGGCATTTGGTCGAAACTCTACATCTGAAGACAATTCCATGCCTGAGGTTCGTCACTAATTGGTCTTTTCTGTTTGTGGTGCTCACCATTTATCTACTTAATAACCTATATTGTTATCGTTAATGGGTATTTGGATGGCTATTTAGTAGGCTGTCATCTGCTTTAGGGTTTAGAACTACGAAAACTGATTATTCATGTTGTTTTGAAGTTAACACATCTTCTTATATACTTGTGATTGCTTTTTTTTCTGCTACAGTTATGTTGTAGTAGCATGTCTAGAATGGCAATGCCAAGGGAGGCAGGACCTTGGGGAGGTTCTGGAGGCAAACCTTGGGACGATGGAGTTTTCTCCAATGTCAAAAGAGTCTGTGTTCATATTGGAGAGTCTTTGAATGTGATTTATGCCATCCAATTTGAATATATTCAAGGAAATGCTAAACCAGTTTCGTCACCAATGCATGGAGGAACAGGTGGAGATACAATGGTATGAGCGCACACACACACAAATATATATATATATATATATATATATAGGGTTGGGTTCACGTGAGAACAAGTGTTTTTCTTGAGACTTGTAATACCAATTTATGTTCATTGATCAACTTTATAAGCTAATGATTTAATGGTCTAAAGTTGCACGGTGACAATTTTGTGGTTTTTGAGAAGTCTCGTGGAAATTTTGTGATTATGAACGTTCAGATGGTAGATCTAATCCAGAGGTTGAGAATTGGTCTTACGAGTCTCACGAAAAACCTTTGGATATATATATATATATATATATAGAGAGAGAGAGAGAGAGAGAGAGAGAGAGAGAAAGAGAGAGTTTGTTTCAAATACAACTCATCACATTTGTACAACCAATGCAACCCAATATATTGAGATATTTATGGAAATGATAAGAATTCATTTATCATGATTTGAATATTTATGGAAGATGAATATGGTTCATTAATTATGATCGATATTTTATATTAGAAAACAATAAAAACTTCTATCAAATTACATATTAATCAAATGAAATGAACAGTTGAGATTGAATTGTATTGGTTGCATAAATGTCAAAGGTTGTATAATAACCAACCTATATATATATATATATATATATATATATATACTTGGGATCATGTGAGACCAAGGGTTTTTCGTGAGACCTGTGAGACCAATTCTCAACCATTGGATTAGATCTACAATTTGAACATTCATAATCACAAAATTGCAACGAGATTTCTCAAAAATCACAAAATTGCCACCATGCAACTTTAGACCATTAGATCATTAGTTTATAAAGTTGATCAATGAATATAAATTGATCTTACGGGTGTCACGAAAAACTCTTGATCTCACATGAACCCAACTATATATATATATACACACTCATGCTCCTTTTGCGTTTCGTCAACCTCATGATGAATCTAGGTCGTTGACAAAACCTTAACCTTGAGCTTGGCAGGTTAATTTGGATGTTACGGACGAGTATTTGACTGGGATCTCAGGGTTTTATGGACCAATTGAGGGGTACAATGGGTTGGAAGCTATAACGTCCATCACTTTTCACACAAACAAGAGTAAACATGGGCCTTATGGAGAAGAAAGTGGTGCAGGGTATACTTATTTCACTTCAACAGCTTCTCCTGGGAAAGTTGTCGGTTTCCATGGGTGGAATGATCGTTTCTTAACTGCAATCGGTGTTCATATGAAGTATTTCTGAAGGCGATGGAAGTGCTGCGACTTGAACTTGAAGCTGGATGTATAACCCTTTTGGTGTGGTAATTGCATCAAACTTGGTTATGGTTTTTGTTGGATACTTGGATGTGTATTGTGCCATTGGGATATTCTTTGAACAACATTGTAGGGCCACAATCAAGATTTTGTACATTCAAATGTTTGAAGCTTGGCAACCTTGTTGATATTCATGACTTTTGATGTTATTGTCAATCATAAGCATGGAATTATAGCCACAAATGTGGTGCCTAATTGATTTGAGTTTGACTTGAAAGGTCAAAAGTATTAGAAGGTTTTAGGTTCAAATCCAAGGAGAAATAAAAATCCCCTTGTGGCCACAAAGGTTCAAATGCGGTGACTCCCGGCTATCTGCAAAGCAGATGGTCATCCTGGGATTAGTCAGCTCGCATAGCGGTTGGATATACAAGTTAATAAAAAAAAGCATGACATTATCAAGTGGAGAAGATACTCGGCAAAAAGCATATAAACCAATTTGGATTAAGACCATGTTTGGCAAAGTAGCTTATAAAGTGGTGTTTGCTGATAAGCTCATGTAACTAAAATACTAGTTGGTGGCAGGCGGATAAGCTAGCTAATTCATGAACTGGTCTTGTTTTGCTAAAACTAGGGGTGTACGCGGGTTGGGTTTAGCGGTTTACAACATTTTTGCAACCCAACCCAATTATGACGGTTTTGAAAAATCTCAACCCAACCCAACCCATTCAAAAGTATAATCCAACCCAACCCTTGCGGGTTGAGTTGGGTTGGCGGGTTAGCAGCTACGTAAAATTTGACGAATGAAATAATTTATAAACTTAAGTTTATAGATCATACTATAAAGCGTTCTATCTAAAAATGTTAGAATAAGTTTATAGGACGTTTTTGGACGTTTAAACAAGTGTTTTAGAATGATCTTTAAATTAAATGTCGTATTAGTTATTTTATCGAAATATTTTTAAAAGTGTCCCGTAAACTCATCTATTTATAGGACACCTTTATTCATATGACACTTTTTCAACTCATGTCGTATAAAATAATCAACACGGAATTTTATTTTAAAAGCGTCATATAATTTTTTAAGACGCCCAAAATCATTCTATAAACATATTGCAACTCTTTTAGATAAGACATTTTTTCTTGTTCCGTCCTATAAAGTATCATATTAGGACGGTTAGACATTCTAAGCATCCTATAAAATCTAATGTTAGTTGTAGCGAAATATTATAACTAAGCATTTTCTTTCCACTAAAGTACAACACAAAATGACAGAGTATTTAGATTGATAGATTCATCAGTCAAATATCTATCAATATCATTCATATTCTCCAACATATCAGTTTATCGTTGCTGCAAAAAAGTTTTCAATAATTTTCTCTTATTAATTAGATTATCTGTCATCATTATTTGATCGTAAAACTTTTTTGGTAACCTATACGTTTAACTAAAATGAAATGCAAACATAATATCAATAAAAATTTATACATTATTAATATGTGTTAAACCCAACACAAGTGAGACTAAAAATTCAAAAACCAACATAAAACAAATTCAGATTTAAGCAAATTGAAAACAAATTAATTGGATTGATAACTAGATGATAATCAGATGAGTAATTGGATGTGGGTCGGTTGTGGTCGGTTCTGGACTGCCATCCAATAACCGATCGATCTAAATTGGATGTTGAAATTCTAAATCCTATTTGATCCAATTTTAATTGGATATCCAATTATGGTCGGTCGGTTCTAATTGAATCGGTCGTTCCAATTAGATTAGTTGACTTTCTAAACACCCCTAAACGACAGGATTTTTCGATCATCATACACTACAACAAGATTGATTTTATAAAATGCCTAAAATATAGAAGTGTTCAAAATAATCTTTTATAGGATTTAAGTTTATAGGACCAAACCAAAAAATGTCTTATTTAAAAGTGTTACAATATAGATATATAGCACGTTTTTAGGCGTTTTAACAAACTTTTTAGGAACGATTTTAATATAAAGTGTCATATTAACTATTTTATCTATACTATCTTATTAAGCAAATTTAGTAAAAATCTTAAAGTCTTAAAATACTAAATGACCAAAATACCCTTTATACTAACTTTTTCACCCCTTCCTCTCCTCACGTACACTCACCCTCTCACAACTGATTTTTTTAAAATTATAATTTTAAATTTACACTTTATACCCTTATAATTAATTAATTAATTTACTTTACGTCTTTTACTTTTAAATGTTTCATTTTAAACATTTATCAAATTAACATACATAATCGTATATCAATTAAAACATGTTTAAAAAAATACATTTTTATTTTAACAAGTTACACCATTATAATCGTCTCGTTAATACCTTTAAAATGAGTCAAATATTGAATAGTTTTTGACTTAATTATATTATTATATATTATATATATTGTAAAAAAATATTTTTAATATTTACGATTTATACTTTTATAGTTATTTATTTATATATATACTATATATTTTGGGGTTAGACTGTCTAAATTGCACTGTATAATATGTTTTGATTTAATATGTTCTTGGGTTTTTTTGAAATATATATATATACATGTATTAATTCAATCTTAATCCGAGTTTCTGGACAAGAAAAAGGGTAAGCATTTGAAATTTGATTCTAAAACCATCTTTTTTTGTCTTTTCATGGCTTATGATCTATCAACTTTGTAGTTTTCTTTATTGGTTTTGAGTATTTATCTTAAAACTCAAGTTTTTTGGTTCTTTGCTCTTGGTGTAAATCGAATACATTTGTGGAGTCGTTTAAATATGTTGGATTTTAAACTGTCGTACAATTTTTTTCATCGATAGTCTGTAATTGGAACCATAACTCTTATTTATTCAAATTGTATTAATATGTAAAGACCAAATGTAACCTATATCATCGTTAAATCTTATCTTATAAAACCAGTGGAACTTCAAAATCGTTAAAATTCATGGCTCCCGCTGCATTGCGCGGGTACACAACTAGTACGATATTATTTGAAAAAGATGTTCTGTAAACACAAGTGACTTTGAAAAGATGAGTTTATAAGACACTTATTAAAAGTTTCATATAAAAAAGATAATAAGACACTTTATTTTAAAAATGTTCAAAAAGATTGTTAATATGTCTAAAATCGTCATATAAATTAGTCTACAATAACACTTGTGAATAAGACGTTTTATGATTTAGTTCCATAAATCTAAGGGGCCGTTTACTTAAACACGTACCCGGTAAGCGTTTAACGGTAAAATTCAACTCTATCGCTTACTTATCAGGTAAGATTTTAGTCTACCAAAACGACATCATATGTAACAATTTACCCGGTAAACATTAACTGTGGTAAGAGTCATCGTCATCACTTATCGGATAAGACTTTCAGTCCTTACCAGGTAAGATTCTTGGTTCTTGCTATATCCATCCGGTAAGGGAATATGACTTGGTAAGCGTTTACCCGAATAAGCATTTAGTAAACGGTCCCTAAGTCTTATAAAACATTTTATTATGACGTTTAGATAATACTTAAAATAAAACTAATTTTATTGTGGTAACATTTGCAAACTTGTTAAATTGTTTGCAAAGTTGGGTTGTAGACTTGGTTTGATTCTATTTTAATACAATTTATGATATTAATTATTTTAAATTTTAATAATAAAAAAGGTACTAAAATTAAATTAAAAATTTTAATTTGAAAAAATGATAGCAAAGGATTATTTGGGGTTGATATCTCCACCCCCTTACGTCATTTCTCACCGCCTCTCCCTCACATCTTTTCCTCACTCACACTCTCACATTCATCAAATTTTTTAAAAATTTAATTTTAAATTTACACTTTATACCCTTATAATTAATTAATTAATTTACTTTACATCTTTTCTTTTTAAAATTTTCATTTTACACCCTTATCAAATTAACACATATAATCGTATATCAATTAAAACATATTTAAAAAATA